AAATTTGTCTTTCTCTGAATCCAATCAGTGTGGGTTGTTCCAGAAATTGGTTTGCTCGTTGGAGGGCGGACAGGGTTTACCCAGGTTAAGGTGTTTTCCTGAGGAGCGGAGGAGCTGACTGCCACTTAGATTTCCTTTGGTACTTGAACGGTTCTTGTGGAGATGAATCCCCTGCTCAGTGTGAAGCTCAAACAATCCTTTGGGGAAAAGTAGATCCAAACCTCCAGGTTGAATCCCCTAGCTCAGTTTAAAGCTCAAGACGATCCTTCCAGGGGGAGAAGGTCCAAAACATCCAGTTTGCAGGATGACTTCATGCCGAGAGGCAAAGACAAAAAAACAAGGTTAAGGCTCAGGTAGACAAAAACTCAGTTTGACTCAGCAACGCTCAGCTTGGCTAGAGTACCCAAAACTGGCAAACACTGTGGCATCGAGGTAGTGGCAGTCAGCAGCTTAAGAGTCCTCAGGTAATGAGGCAACCATCAGCAGGTGTGTGAAAGGGCCAAGGAGAACCAGGCGCCACCTGGTGGTGGAGGGAAAAAACACAACCCACACACCTTCTTTCCTTAAACTACCTAAACCTCGTATTATAGGTGCGAAGTAAGCCAACCGATCAAAAACAAGCCTGACTTGATAAAAATTCTGTTTTGTTGCAGAGTTCAAATAGGCCCAGATAATTGCACTATATTTCAGTTTTTCATTTCATTCAAGCTATCAGTATGTTTCTTGGAAAGTTATGCTGTTCAATGTTGGATGATCCTATAATTGAAACCTAAATCAGGATGATTGTCGATTCAAGCTTTGTTCATTTGAAGCATCTAGCTAAAGTAAAACCATTTATATCTATACAGCTTTTTGAAACAGGGATCCATGTGTTTGTAATTGCTGGATTACAGTATATGGCTTTATCTTGGTGTTAGTGGTGCATCTGTCAGGTGAAAGCAGGATGTGTAAAATGCTGTAGGACTTTTAACTGGATCAAAATGTTTGAGCATCACCCCAATTAAAAATCCCTTCATTTAGGATCCATTTTATATTGCTCTCAGTATTTGCTGTTAGATCAGTATTAGTGCTGTTAGATTAGTATTTGCCACATCTTTCTTAGATGCTACACTCCCATATATCTAGCCGATCCCTAAAGTCTGTCAGCAAGCAGCTCGTTGTTTTCACCAAATCCAAGCGGCAACAAGCTGTAGCAGCACCAAATTTATGGAATAAACCGCCTTTGGATGTACCTGTTTGCTGAGGCATTTGGTACATCCCGAGAGCATTACCCTATTTCTAATTTATTTAATTTTTTATCTCCTTTTTTAATTACTTCTAATTGTTTCATATTTGAATTACTTTTAGTTTGCATAATTTTTGTAGCTTTTATTCTCTATTTTAGCTTGTCTGTATTTTGCTTGTCCACTTAAAGGAATAGTACACCCAAAACATGATTAGCCTTCATTTTCTACTCACCTCCATGCTGAACAACACTCTGGAGTACTTTTTTGATATCTCAAATGCATCTGGAGATCTGGGAGGCTTCTTGCTGTCTGCTGACATTCAAATAATGGAGGTCCATGGCGCCCGAGACAGAAAGGTCCATAAAAGTCCACAAAAACGTGTCAATATTCCTCCATACTGCTCGTCCAATGTAATCCAAGTGTCCTGAGTGGGTAGCATCCAGAATTTACTCGAAACGAAGTCATTTAGAATGTTTTTAGAGCATAAACAGTAGTGTATAGGATTTCCTAATAGCGCCCCCATGCGCGCTCACGATTCTACGGAAGCCGGCAGACCAAACCGGAAGGAAGTGCGCATTCAGCGTCTGGTCTGCCGATAATGCAAGCGTAGAAGAAGAAATGTGCTGTTTACCTGTGCAAAGAAAGAAACAACGAAAGAAAAATGTCTGAGGACTTCAGTGTTGAGGAAGAGCATGAGTTCTTTGCCGAGCTGAATGCGCTGGTTTGGTCTGCCGGCTTCCGTAGAATCGTGAGCGCGCATGGGGGCGCTATTAGGAAATCCTATACACTACTGTTTAGGCTCTAAAACGTTCTAAATGACTTCGTTTCGAGTAAATTCTGGATGCTACCCACTCAGGACACTTGGATTACATTGGACGAGCAGTATGGAGGAATATTGACAAGTTTTTGTGGACTTTTGTGGACCTTTCTGTCTCGGGCGCCATAGACCTCCATTATTTGAATGTCAGCAGACAGCAAGAAGTCTCCCAGATCTCCAGATGCATTTGAGATATCAAAAAAGTACTCCAGAGTGTTGTTCAGCATGGAGGTGAGTAGAAAATGAAGGCTAATCATGTTTTGGGTGTACTATTCCTTTAATACTGTTGTTTTCAATTGTATTTACTTTGATGAAGTGCTGTTTAAGTGCTATTGAATAAAGGGGTATGGTATTTTTTTTTTTATTGGCTCTAATTGCCTTTGACATTCTTCAATCACTTAGATTCTCCTGTGAGACCAATTAAAGTTTTGCTCTGGAGGTACTCTTGTGAATCTGCCAACAGCCAGTTGCTTTTTTCAGAAGAACAAGGATTTCTTTCAAAAGAACAAGTTGTGAAGAGATCTAAGGCGAGCAGATCAGTGGAGGAAATTGCATTCCCACTAAAGACTCCACACAGCGCCTCGTTTTTAATAAACATTATGGAGTCAACTAGTGTTTCTACAGACGGTCTTATCTCTGACATTTTTCAATATCTCAAAGTATTTGTGAAATAATGCAAGAAATAAAAAAAAGTAGAAAAGTCTTTTATAAAACAGACAATCATGAAATGTTTCTTTTTGCACCCTGCTTTGAACAAATTTACATCTATTTAATCATGTCTGGAACATCAAGTAACCAGTTCATATTAGGTATATATTTATGAAAAGTATTTACTTTAGCTGTGTGTGGATGTGGCTGACTTTGCTTTAGGCACTGATCTAAAGATAACTCGCTTTTAAGATTTTTAAAGAGATGTTAGGCCTTGATTTTACTAAGAGCAATAAAGATCTCATAAATATTGAAAGCCTTGGTAATAAGACTAAGAGTTAATATTTTTCCTTTAGCAAAATTTAGTAGAAAAAAAGGAATAACTTCACAAAAATGGATGGATGGATGATGATGATGAGGATGGATGGATGGATGGATGGATGGATGGATGGATGGATGGATGGATGGATGGATGGATGGATGGATGGATGGATGGATGGATGGATGGATGGATGGATGATGATGAATGGATGGATGGATGGATGGATAGATGGATGATGATGAAGATGGATGGATGGAAGGATAGATGATGATGATGAGGAGGAGGGATGGATGGATGGAATGATGATGGATGGATGATGGATGGATGATGGATGGTTGATGATGATGATGATGATGATGATGATGAGAAGGAGGGATGGATGGATGGAATGATGATGGATGGATGATGGATGGATGATGGATGGTTGATTATGATGATGAGAAGGAGGGATGGATGGATGGATGGATGGATGGATGGATGGATGGATGGATGGATGGATGGAATGATGATGATGATGGATGGATGATGGATGGTTGATGATGATGATGATGATGAGGATGGAAGGATAGATGGATGGATTGATGGATTGATGATGATGAGGATGGATGGATGGAATGATGATGATGATGAGGAGGAGGGATGGATGGATGGATGGAATGATGATGATGATGATGGATGGTTGATGATGATGATGATGAGGAGGGATGGATGGATGGAATGATGATGATGATGATGATGGATGGATGATGGATGGTTGATGATGATGATGATGATGATGATGAGGATGGAAGGATAGATGGATGGATTGATGGATTGATGATGATGAGGATGGATGGATGGATGGATGGATGGATGGAATGATGATGATGATGGATGGATGATGGATGGTTGATGATGATGATGATGATGATGATGAGGATGGAAGGATAGATGGATGGATTGATGGATTGATGATGATGAGGATGGATAGATGGATGGATGGAATGATGATGAGGAGGAGGGATGGATGGATGGATGGATGCAATGATGATGATGATGAGGATGGATGGATGAATGGATGGATGGAATGATGATGAGGAGGAGGGATGGATGGAATGATGATGATGATGATGATGATGATGGATGGTTGATGATGATGATGAGGAGGAGGGATGGATGGATGGATGGATGGATAGAATGATGATGATGATGATGATGATGATGATGATGAGGGTGGATAGATGGATGGATGGATGGATGGGTGCCTACGATCTCTGAGCCTGCTTCTGTGCTTAAATTAGGAAGATGAAAGGAACAACCCTAAAAGTTTTCATGAGGATGTAACTGCAGCTGAAATGCACTTTTCCACAGAACCAGAAGTTTACTTTAAGAGAATTCAAAATCAACTCCATGGAGGCAAAACAGGATGTTAAGGTTAATCATGCATTGCCGTAATTAAGGCTACCTTAAAAAAAAGTAAATAAAGCAACGGGGAAGTGAAGTTAAGGTTCTTTTGTTGGGTTTTGCCAGTGAATTATATAACCATTTGTTAGTGTTTTAAAGGTCAACACTTTGAATTATGAAAAAAAAGAGACAACAAAACACCACAGAAGGCCACATCGGCTACAGTATAAAAAACCCTGATTAGAAACAACAAACCTTTTCAACACATTCTTCTCACAAGAACAGTCATATAAAGGTTAGGGAATGTTGTTGACAGGAAACTGACAAATAAGTTGTTAACGAAAAACCTTCTAGTAACCACCGACCATTGAAATCAGCAGACGCTGAAGCTGCTCAGAGAAAATATTTCTGTTGTGATATTTTAATCTCATTCCAATAATAAAAGGTGCGTTCTGAAAAAAGGATACGTCTGAGAACCACAGGAGCAAAAAGCCCTCTAAAGTTTACAGGGGAAACAATCATATTTAACATTTTCCAAGCATCAGCACTGTAATCAGCTGTTAGTGATTATCTACATTAAACATATCCCCTCTGTTGCTTGCAGGAGGTGAAATACTTCCAGTTTCCCGGAGAGCTGCTCATGAGGATGCTGAAAATGTTAATCTTGCCTCTCGTCGTCTCAAGGTAAGAGAACCAGCTGTGCGAGAAAGAAACACTTAAACACATCCCGATGCTCTAATTAACCTGACATGATACTAATGTTATACGTGCCATACATAAATATGCAGATGATGCATCTAAATTGTTCATTTTAGCCTGATTCAAAAAGGAATTCTTAAAGGGAAAGCAGATATTTTGGGCAAGCTCATTCTTGAAGTACTTTGTAACATCAAGGAAGAAAGCAGACGTCTTGCAGCCATAAACAGGCTCTGCTATAACTCTGCTTGGATATTTGATCCCTCTATTTGGCAGAAATGATCTAAATCGGTTTGTTTCCTTGCAGGCACCTTACTTTTAAACATATATTTCCCCCGGGAGTTAGCTCTGGGCCTTCAGGGAGGCATTCAAGAAGCTGAAGTTAAGCCCTTTTAAAATTACATGTGATGTGTTATGGGATTGCTATCCTGTCGGATCAACCTGCTGTGCCAAATTAAGAATAAAACACTTGGGATGCCCAGCTACAAACAGCAGCCTCGAGTCAATCAGAAGGTAATAGAGCTGGAACAACCTGAAACGTGTTTGACATTAGAAAGAGCAACACCTTGACTGAAATCTGCAGCAGCTCTTAAAGACAGACCACATGCAATCTGGAGTAACTTTTAAAGGTCAGATGAGACAAAGATCAAGCTATGTGAGCACACTGAGAAGAATTATGTTTGCCGGTGTCATGGCGAGGCTGTGGAGCATTGCGGCGGTGGTGTCATGCTGAGGGTTAGTTTCACCCTCAGCGGTGAAGGTGTACGCTGCAAAGTAGATAATCAAGATGAGGGGTCACAGTTTTCTTCACATCCAACCATCTGAAGAGCAGAGACATGATGGTTTTATAAAACAACACTACTAAACATTTAAACCGATTTTATTGTGGAAACTGAATGACCCTTAGCTGACCCTGATAAAGGTTTGTGAGTGGTGGTTATAACTAAATCTAAGTCAGTGCCAGAAAACCCTAGCCTGACGTAGTCCTACTCAATTCTAGTCAGAATATGAGTCTGATACTGCTCCATAGAGCTGTGATTATGGGGCGTGTTTCGAACGAATCAGGAAAAAAATGCCTCTGTACTCAATTGGATAGACCTACAACCAATAAGACCAACGGAGTGCGTGACGTATGTTAAGCGACGCATAGTTGTCAACAAAAATCAAAGCGTGCAGTTGCACGCCTAGAATAGGACGCCTTGATCGCGTTTCTCTTTTCCTCTTTTAAAATTAATTTGCTGTCGATATCTTCTAGAACAGACCTAATAGCAGAATCTACTCACCTCAACTCTCCAGCGGCAGCCATTGTTGTTGTCACCCAAGCGCGCTTTGGTGACGTGGTTGATTACGTTACTGTTGATCATCTGTCCATCATCGTATAAAGCCCGCCCTGACAATTTGATTGGCCCGCCAAATATTGTGCGAGCATACTCGCGCTTCTACTGAGCAATGCCAGACCGAACTTCCCGACCTCAAACGTTGTGGGCGGGACTAAGTTCGGAGTGGCACCCAGGCTAAGAAAACCCACCATTTAAAATGAATCTTAACCTTTTTTAACAAGAAATGTTAAGTTTTCACACAGAAATATGCCAGGTCTATGATAATAGCAAAAAAAAAAACATGTTTTATTCCTAACTCTGCTGAAGAATATTGAACCACAATTGGTGTATTTACATGGAATGTTGATAATATCTTAATATCTCATATTTAGGGAGGAAATCTCCTTTTGTTCCTTGAATTAGCATAGAAGGAGTTTAAAGTTCAGTTTGTTTATGAATGGCGGATCTTTCTTCCAGCCGACAGACCATGACTGACTGTCTGCTTCAGACTCCAGCAGCAACATTCAGCTCATGCTGAACCAATCAGTAACTCAAAAAGTCTATGTTTGTTGTATTTAACTCACATTTACCGCGAGCAACAGAGAGCCAGCGCTGCTGCAACTCCTTAAAATCCAACTTTGATCCATTTACTGTGCGCTTTTACTGACTGACTGATAACATGAAGTTAAGATGAAACTTTCATCTTCAATTCATAAGATATACAGAACATCAAAGAGATTTATGTATTCCACTCAAAGATTGTAACGCAATCAATAAATAGAAACAACCAGAATAAACAGATCTGGGATGTATCCTCCCTACAGGCAAACATTCTTGTTGCTGCATCTATTCATTTATATACGCTCATACATATAAAGAGTTTTTCTCTTTTTTATCTGACTGGTGTGCTTGTGTTCCCTCCGGCGACGATCATTATTGCTTTAAATATGTTCTGACTGAGATTTCAGCTCAGCAGGTCTCCCTTCTTCCCCCGACCTGATCAAACATATAAAGCGGTGCATTCTGCTGCGAGTCCATGTGCTGCATCAGGATAAGTTGTTTAACTTTTAATTTGAGTCACCCTCTCAGTTTTATTACAAATGATGATTCAGAGATAAAAGTTGTTTGGAAAAGTTGTCCATTAGCTTAAATCTGCCTGTTGGACAATGGAGGAAGATCCACATGTGCCCTGCAGATGGAATCCACCTTCTTAAAACTTTTTCACATTTTACGCAACAGGATGCATTATGTTTAAACGCCCCTAAACGTAACACAGCTTTCCCGATTTAAAGGATGCATGATTTAATCTCAGTACCAATCCAGCTTCTCTGTGAGGACCTCTAAAATTATTTTACAGGGATGAATAAACAGATTTATTCTCATATATTATATTCATATCTCTATATTTAGTATTTTTCTTTTACCTTAAAATATGCACTGAACTGTTTTTATCACATTCTTATGGTAAATGTTAAATGGCATGTACTTATATAGCGCCTTTATTCAAGTTAGGAGACTTGACCAAAGCGGTTTACACTACATTCATTCACGCATTCACACACACACACACACACTGATGGTGGCAAGCTACATTGTAGCCACAACTGCCCTGGGGCTCACTGACAGAAGCGGGGCTGCCGTACACTAGCGCCACCGGGCCCTCTGACCACCATCAGTAGACAATGCAGGTGAAGTGTCTTGCCCAAGGACACAACGACACTGAAAGTCGGAGTCGGGGCTTGAACCGTCAACCCTTTGATTTCAGGGCAAACTCCTACATCCAACGCCACTGTCGCCATTCTTATCACATATAAACTTAACAAAACTCCCAAAAGTTAACAATTGTACTAAAGCATCAGCTTCAATAAAGGGGGAAGGTTTCTAAACAACTCTGCAGAAGCATCAGAGTTCAGATTTTTCCTCCTGATTTGGTTTCATCTATTCGTTTAGCTGAACCTGCATGGGTCTTCTTGCATCTCAGACTGATGATTAGGATAGATGAGAAACATAAACCTGATGAGATTGATTCTCCGTCCAATTACTTTTGAAAAAAAAAAAACCCCACTGAGGGTTAAAGAATTATGTTTCTCTAAATGCATGTGGTGTGTCGGCTACAGCTGAGTTATACCCAGGGCACAGCCTGAAAGATTCCACCGTTTGATTATTCGAGGCCCAAGGCACTTAGTTGCCTGCATGAGATCAGTGATGGCTATCGCATACACACTCAAAACAAATCATGCAAACGCGCGGGTAACATGCAGCCTGCTTTGTGCAATAAGCTACTTACAATCTATGCAACAGCAAAGACTAGATGAGAAGTTAATCCCCCCCCCTCTCTCACTGTCTGACTCTTTGTCTTTATCTCTGTCTGTTGATGTTTATTGCACATTTCGTTTGAATATATATCTACTTTATTGAGTGCTAACAAATTAGAGTGAATGGGTTTTACCCGTGGATGACCGGTTATCCCCCCAGTGTCATTGCTCTACACCTGACAGTAAATTTTTATGCTCAACATAGATTGTGTTATAGACGGAAACATTAACTACATGTAATCTAAAGTAGTCTCTGCAGGCATCAGTGGGGGCAGCATCAGCAAGTCACACAAATCAGTCTAGCACATGGGAATGTAAAAGCAATCAGTGAGATTATTTCACTCAACAAGTGCGTGCTGATGCTTTGAGTCATCTGCGCTCCTGATGTTCCCTCTGCCTGCCTGATTCTGGATACAGGCGATGACGCATTATCATACAGGAAGGTGTTTCCTGTTAGTTGCTGTAATTTCGGCTAATATCCGTCACCCTGCTCCCATTCACTTTTAAATCATTTATAGAATACGTGTGAAAGTCTCGTTATCTCTGACAGCATCTATGCCAGCTGCAGTACCAGAAAGCAGGAGGACTTTCACCCTCTTTCCTCTGACCAAGCATCCTCCCGGGATCCGCAGACCGGCTGCTCGACCTGATGCATGGTACTGTAGGGCTTATCTATGTGGTGAATATCCTCTCTGGCCCTACTGCATGTCTGTCCCCATTCCCCCCACCCTCTCCATGCCATCTGTGCACCAACCAAAGCGGAAACCAGATTATCCCATGAATGCGTCATGCCAAATCAATGGCCACCACGCTAGGAGCCTCCTATGCTTTCATTTTGTATGGACGGAAAATAAAAAGCATACAGAGACATATGCTGAAGAAAAATAAATAATCCTTGCATTTAATTATGTTTACTTCTGATAAAGTGTTTTAAATTGCTTAATGAACATGTAAGAAAAATTGTTGTTTCTCAAAACATAAAAAACAACAGGGTTTAACAATCTATTTTAGCCTTAACTTCAGATTTTGTTTTTTTTTTCTTTCATTTTAAATTCTGCACCTTTGGCAGCAGGGATGAAACACTGCATTCAGCTAATAAGACAAGATGATGCTCTATATTGACTTATGGAGAGTGTAAGAAATCATAGACACTAAAAATATTTAAAGGAAAATTCCGGTGTCCAGGATGAAATCGAATGATCGACACCAAAATTTTGACGATTGGTCCTGTCTCTGCTATTTGGCTCATGCAGAATCCCCCCCCTGGCTGCTTCAGAATGGCTTCCATAGTGCATGTCCGATAATGTCCTTAAAACAACCTTAAACGTTCTTTTTTTTAAATATGCTACTCACC